AAAAACCGAATCAAAATCCGTTGCGTAGTTTTAAAGATATAAGCATACATATGGATATAGGGACAGAGGAAGCAACTTTGTTTTATGTTATATAGTGATGTGAAATTTTGGGTCAGATGTCCCAGAAAAAATATAGTCCTAAGGAAGTCTCCGTGTCTACTCTCTGTTACCTACCTATATCACTGGTTATAGTACGCGTTGATTAGAGGACTTCTCCTTTTTGGAAGTCGGTTAATTACCTGCTCGCTATAAAGGAAGTATTCATATCAAAATCTATTTTTGAGCTGTCTTTATCGTCATGTGTGCGACATAGTTTGTTTTATATGTAAACAATAATTTTGATAGCCTTAACATGTGGCTCACACATTTGATTATGTCGGCAAAATAAACAATTTACTTGGATATTCATAAATAACACACGACATATTATCTATACTACCTAGTAATTTATACTACCTAGTCTAGCCATAAATTCTGTTACCGGCTGTTTACATACATTTAAAAAAGAAACAATAATTTGAATTTCGAACTTCGGCTTTTACGATAAAAAATAAACTTCTTTCCCGCCTTTATTGTATGTTTTTTGCTTAGAAATTATTTATTTTGATAAAATGGAGAACCTCTCAAAAACACCTTATATAAAAACGAAGTGTGGACATTCCAACAGGATTCAGCTCCGGGTCATAAGGCGAAAACTAACCAAATTTGGCTAGAGTAAAATGTTTCAGACTTCATAAAAGCATATGTCCGGACTTAAACCCTTTGGACTATAAATTGTGATCTGTGCTAGAGGACATGGCCTGTTTTAAGCGTCACCCAAATATCGAGTCGCTCAAGGAATCTTTGGAGGCAGCAGTGATCAAGTTTCTAATGGAAACCGTTCGTAAATCCATCGACGAATGGCCGAACCGTTTAAAAGCGTGCGTTAAAGCTAAGGATGGAAACTTTGAATAACTAGTACGTTAAAATATCTTTTTCACTTTATCAGATATTTTCTTTGTAACAGAACTTATGGCTAGACTAGGTACATGTCATTGTCGTGTACCAAAGAACATTTAAATCAGTGAAGCAAACATTTTTTACTTACCACTCGTTCAGGGGCCTGATTATCTAATTTTAAAATGCTTCGCGATCCCTTCCAATTTGACATTTGAAAAATATCCACGAACTTCAGGCTACAACTATAGATTACGGCCCTTTTTGAAGGATATTGTATATGCAAAACGATATATGATTGCAAAACGATATATTATTTTTTTGCATGCTGTTCAAGATGGCTAAATAGGTCAAAGCTCTTGAACTTAAATATCACAACTGTATATATAACCCTATTTATTGCAAATAAAGACATTATTATTATTATTTTTGTATTTAAAAATTTACTCTTCCCGACCCCTCGACGATTCGAGGGGTGGGAGGATTCCCCCCGGCAGAGGAGGCCAGACGGCCGGGGGTCAGGGCGACAAAGAGAGAAAACGGCGGACGATCCTTGCGTTATCGAGCAAGATCGCCCGCTGGAGCCTCTCAATCATTGGTCCGTCACGGAGTCCCAACCTCTTCAGATGGTCGTGAAGAGAAGTTGGGACTAGGCCAGGGGTCGGCAACCTGCGGCTCGCGAGCCACATGCGGCTCTTTGGCTGGGAAGCTGCGGCTCTTTAGTTCCGAACACAAATATTATTTATTTTATAAAAAAAAAACATTTTAAAACTTTCTGAATCGATTAACAAAGATTCAGCACCACTTCTATCTCTCAGCCACATAGTCTTTGCTTGTACCCGCTTTTCACGGCACCCCTCGACCGCGCCCGCGATATGCGCCGTCGTTCATCACTGTTGTCAAGATTATTTTCTTTACTTAAATAACTATTCAAAGCCAAAGTTTCTTTTGAGTTTGTTTGCTCAGATATATGTTATGTTCGTTTTTATTTTTTTTATTACAAGTTACATTGTTTGGTAAAGTTTAAATTTTATTTTTAAATATCCAGGCAAAGCCGATTGAATTTCCTTGCTCATCATTATGATTGTTGCTGCCACGCCCAGACTGAGCTCGCAGCCTCGCGCGGCATGCGCCGCCGCCCCGCTCGGTAAGTGTGAACTGCTGCAGGCACGTTGGCTCGAGGCATAGCAAGCGTCCGCCTCGCCCGAGGCAGTCCACAGTCACCACACCGACCGAGCGGTTCGGCGCATGCCGCACGAGGCGGGCCTCGCCTAAAGGTGCGCGCTCAGTCTGGACGAGGCTATTGAAGTACAAATTAGTGTTGTAACTTTGTAACTAAATGTTTACTTGTTTTATTTTTTTACTTGAATTATAAATAATGATTAATACCACAAATATGTTTAATTTTTTATGAAAAAAACTACTCATATATGAATAAATAAATATTATTTTGTCTTATTAATAAACAGACTAAAATTACTTTATTTATGCAAGTACTATTTATTGTGATTGAATCACCATGATTGACCGAAAGTAGTTAATTCCGTGCATCGGGGGGCACGTTAAGCCGTCGGTCCTGCGCCTGATCTCTCACCGGTTGTGTCGGTCAACCGTCCCATCGGATAGTTGGTAACAATAAGCAAAGTCCTGCGCAGTAAGTCGATGTCAGTGAGAGTAGGACTACATTACTTATTTATTGTAGGTATAAAAACATTTTGTGGCTCTTTAAAAACTTAAAAATGTTGTAAATTGTAACTTTTGGCTCTTTTGACTCAAAAGGTTGCCGACCCCTGGACTAGGCCATTCGTTGACACTACGACCGGGATGATCTCAGTGGATGACACCCGCCACATATCGGTAACCTCGTGCGCCAGGTTCAGATATTATTATTATTATTATTATTAAAAAGCTATTGAGAAATTTCAAAGGAAAGTATTGCATGTTATCTGCAATCTTTTGACGGATTTAGCAAAGATTTTATTATGTTTCTTGACCATTCCAATCATCAATTGTTCCGAAAGCGCTTGCGACTTTAACATTTACAATATTAAATTAATCACGGCCGCTATACATTATAAAGGCACTGCGATAGATTACAAAATCAAACAAATAACCTACAAGGCGTCTTTGGCTGATAAGAATTACGGGCGGAGGAAACTCATCTGAGTACTAATAGGTGATGATGACTAATTTTCGTTTGTTTGTCCGTTAGGTAGAGTATTAAAAAATATTAAACACGCATTTTTTTATTTTTTTCCTAATCATAAAATTACGGCGTTACATTGAGTTGAAATTTCGCATGACGTCACGTTAGAGTACGTTTTCTACTCAACTGTGACGTAGCGAGCCCCCACTCCTCAACTTTAATGCCTGTTATCTAAGTTATTTCTTGTTAAATTGAAGTAAAAAAAAATACGTATCTAATATTTTTCTATTATCTGACTGACGGACTAAATAGAATTGCATTTTTTTTACCCAGTCGTCATCCCTATTGTATTATTTTTTTAAATATCGCCTTTCAACTTGGCATTTGAAAATTATTCACGAACTTCAAGCTACAAGTATTTGCTATGTGATAGCGATTATGACGTGACTTTTTTTTTAATATATAATTTAACGTTAATTGTCTAAAGAAAGCGTTAGACACAAATATTACTTTAACTCACCTTTTTAAATTTAATCACCTTAGAAAGGGATTAAGGTAGATTTGATATTAAACACTTACAGTGCTATTAATAAACAAAGTTTAGCGTTTGATTAAATTTCCGCTGAGACTGCACTTAGTGTTAGTCAAAATTCATATTATTAAACAGAGACTTGGCAAAGGTTTACCTAGTACGAGGTACTACGGGGGTAATATTTGCTTCTAGAAGGTAGTAGGTTTGCTTATTCTCTGTATAATATGGATTTGGACTAATATTAAAATTGCAATTTTAATGGCAGACGCTAAACCTTGCTGAGACTACACTTAGTATTAGTCAAAATTCATATTATTAAACAGAGACTTGGCAAAGGTTTACCTAGTACGAGGTGCTACGGGAGTAATATTTGCTTCTAGAAGGTAGTGGGTTTGTTTATTCTCTGTGTAATTTGAATTTGGACCAATATTAAAATTGCAATTTTAATGGCAGACGCTAAACCTTGCTGAGACTACACTTAGTATTAGTCAAAATTCATATTATTAAACAGAGACTTGGCAAAGGTTTACCCAGTACGAGGTGCTACGGGAGTAATATTTGCTTCTAGAAGGTAGTGGGTTTGTTTATTCTCTGTGTAATTTGAATTTGGACTAATATTAAAATTGCAATTTTAATGGCAGACGCTAAACCTTGCTGAGACTACACTTAGTATTAGTCAAAATTCATATTATTAAACAGAGACTTGGCAAAGGTTTACCTAGTACGAGGTGCTACGGGAGTAATATTTGCTTCTAGAAGGTTGTAGGTTTGCTTATTGTGTGTATAATATGAATATAGACTAATACTAATATTGCAATTTTAATGTAAATTTACTCTGACGCTAAACCTTGTTTATAAATAGCACTGATAGATCACAGCTCTATTAGAAGTGACTATAGTTAGATACAAGAAACTGTATCATATGGCTCTCGATGTTGGAGTGGCTAGCGTGCTCGGTTTACGATATGGTTGTTAGGCAACTTTCGCAATGGCCGGTCATAGGATGGGTGACCAAAAATTTTTTTTTTATCGAACTCTTCCATGCGGAAGGCCGTTAAGCCGTCCAGGCTGCATCTGCAGTTTTTTTACATCATACAATCTGCTTTGAGCCCGCGTGATGGGTCATGACCCTCCCTATTAGATTCGATCCATCCATAGGTAACACCTGAACCCCAGCAATAGGGGCATTAATAGGCTGGATATCTCACAGATTACTAGTAGTCGTTATCGACTGCAGATTTAGCCGTGACCAACGCCTCAACATCCCTTCCGAACCATGAACAGATAATAAATTTCCGGTCACCCATCCCGTGGCTGGCCTCTGCGAAAGTTGCTTAACTTCACTTATTGCAAGGCGGAAATAAAATACAATTTCATTTGTTGAAGGGTAATGTCCAGTTACGGGAGCATGTCTCCGTCTGATGAAGGATGCGACCATGACACCGCCTTCTTCTGCCAGTCCTGGCACTCAGGTAAACATCGATATATTCTCTTTTTTTATGCGATAGGGGGCAGACGAGCAGACGGATCACCTGAAGGTAAGTGATTACTGTCACCCATGGACACCTGCAACACCAGAGGGGCTACAAGCGTGCTGCCGGCCTTGGAGGGAAGGGTTGAGGGGTAGAGGGAAGGGAGTAGGGAGGGATTGTGCCTCCGGTACCCTCACTCACACGACGAAACACATTGAGCGAGCTTCGGCATGAATGGGACGAGCCGGCCCATTCATGCCGAAGCTTGGACTTTTATAAGACATTTAAGCATATTGAATTGTGTTTTTCATGCAAAGGTTTCGCTTCACCCGCTCGACCCGCCCTTAGTATTGGTTGGCTCGCTGTTGTAAGGGACTCGCTTCACTCGCTCGATGTGCCCTCAGTATTTGCGTTTATGATGATTTTATATTTTGATTAATTTTGCATTCATAATGCCATACTGAACATTATTCTTAATACAAAACGCTTAAAAAATCCACTTGGCCCCTGGCACCCTGATATGAGAATTAGAACAAAACTCTTATGTTTATCGAAAGTTCAATATTTTGTTGTAGCGAAGGGTAATAAGTGCTTGAAAGATTCGTCAGTCCTGTTTTTTTTTTTTTTTTTTTTTAATTGCCCGGCCTACAATATTCGGCCGAGCCCTACGCTGCACCCACAGAACATAGCTATGTTCTGTGGCTGCACCCCACTTTGTAGCAGGCCTTTTCAATTTCTATCTTCACATTCATTCCAGTTCTATCTGTTTTTCAGTCTTTCATTCTTCATTCCTTATCTTTCTTTTATTCTGTTCCTCATTTACTCCTCGAGCGACCAGGGCCGTCACATCTATTACTACTTCTCCTACTCTAGTTTGTTCTATGTTTTTTTATTTATTTCTTTATTAATAATTTACACATTTCCTTCTTTATTTCTATTACATTTTTTTCTTATTTCTATCTCTATATTATTTATATTTATCTCCTTAGTTACTTATTTTACATTTAGACCTTTATTTACAATTCTAGTTGTGTTGTCTTCTCACTTATAATTCATGTTATTGTACTTTATTTTAATGTTTTTCTTTTATTTCTATACATTTCTGTATGATAGTATTCCTTACAGTCTTCAATGTATACATTATATTTAGTCACTTTCTATTCAGTTCTAGTAGTACTCGTCAGTCCTGTTAGGTCCTGGGTAGCTCAGTGGTTAGAACAGTTGCCCGGATTGCGGAAGTCGTGGTTTCGATTCCCATCTCAGGGTGCCAGGGACCGAGTGGATTTTTTAAGCATTTTGAATTAAGAATAATTTTTATGATGATATGTTTTCATTCAGGTAGTCCGATGGATGGTGGGGTGTATTGGCCGGCAGTTAATAGTGAAGGTCACGAGTTCGAAGCTCAAGAAGCATATCATGACAACACGCATTACATAAGCCGAAACTATGGTAAGATTCACCTTGAAAGTTACTTGATTTGGTCATAAACTAATTATAAATGATTTTTTTAGACAATATCATTTATAATTGGATTTATACTAATATTATAATAATAGATGTTTTCTGAAACTAATGCCCTGCGATTCTGAAATAATCCAAACCCTTATTCGGATGAGGAAGAATTAAAAAAAAACATTAGTTCCCGAAATCAAACTAGATGTCGCTACGGTACGTTCTTGATTTCTCCATGACAACCCTTCCGGTTTTCTTTCATGTTAAAAGTAAATTAGTTTTCAAACTGTTCTGGTATATCTAAAAAGAAACTGCCCTCGTACCAGAGACGCCTATCACATTTCAATGTAACTTCCTTGGAAAACCGTAGAGATCTCATTGATATTTTTTTTATTTCCAAAATACTATCTCATGAAATAGATTGCCCTCAACTGCTTGAGAAAATTAAACTGCGAGAACCCTTTAGATATCCTCGCAACAGAGTCACTCCACTAAGAGTTCCACTGCGTAGAACTGTTCTCGGTTCTAATTCACCAATATGTAGGATATGTAAATTGGTAAATAAATATAGTAACCCAATAAATATTTATCACAACTCACTTTCAAAGATCCGTAGGACTCTTTTAGAACTGTGGAGTTAATTTTTTTTAACATACGTATAATAGTCTGATCTTGTTTTTCTTTTTCAAATAATTAATTGGTATAAATAATAAAGTAACTTCCTTTCTCATAGTCTAGTGTAAAAGTGTAGTTTCTTACTTACTCTATGTTTTAGTGCAAGTTGTGTTTACCTATTAGTGATTGTGACAGTTAGTTATTTAAAATAAAATTTATTGTAACTAGAATGTATGTAATATTGAACACAAGCGTTGGTAAACCTTAAAGAAATAAATAAAAAACTCTTACTTAATATGTTTTTTCTTCGTCCAGGTTATGAAGATATGCAAGTAACGGGAAATGAACCGTACGATACATATCACCACGGTATGCACCATGGTTATACACAGCACAACACAGGTAAGAATAGTATTGATACGACTTAGGGTTCGGGATAAAATTTAACGCCAATCATTGTTCACAAACCACAATCCGACTTTATTTAATACAAAAAAAATTCAAAATAATCTACCTACAAAATTCACACTTCCACTTCTTCAAAATGCCGGGACTTATAGGTACCGATACCACATCTAAAATGTTCTAGGTCCTAACCTAGAACATTCCAGGTGTTTTTCCTCGGCATTACCAAATTGTTCTAGAACAGCTACCGGTCCCTTTCTTCCCCAGTGACTGTCCTTTTCTCGCCGACCCGATACTATAAAGTGTGAGCGCGATTCATTAACGCATAACGCCATCTAGTACCTAATGCTTAGACGAACCGCGCCGCTGCGCTTCATGACAGCAGTATATTACCCGACTTTTTAAGTCCCCAATGCAGGGCCTATGGATGGTTAAGGAGGATTGGCCATGGCCCACGCTGGCCCAATGTGGATTGGTGGGTATTAACGGCTGCGCATGAAGCCGGGACCAACGGCTTAACGTGCCTTCCGAAGCACGGAGTAGACCGAGAAAATAATATCTTGGTAACACATTCCGTGACAGATCTTTGCGAAAGTTGCTCAGCAATAACGTTTTCGGGCCGTGGCGGTCCACTACGCTACCGAACTAGTCCACTACTATTACTACTAGAATAATATATATGTGGAAATTATAGTTTTTAAGACTTCATAAATTACGTTACCCGAATCTCTTGATTTTATTAATCTCCCTCTTTCTTGATGCATATTGTCATATTTGTGAAATTCCTCCCCCCTTTCTGGTTACATATTGTCACATCTGTTAGACTTATGTTTATGCAGACAGAGGAGGATTTACGTTTTTTATATTTGACGACAAAAATTTTCTTATCATCGACACTGACAATGACTACGACTTCGTCTACGACATACCCGATAACTTAAAAAACCGCTAGCTTTCCGCCACGCCACGCCACGCCGCTTGAAAACGTCACACACACACACACACACACACACACACACACACACACACACACACAGAGAGAGAGAGAGTTACTTTCGTATTATATTAAGGATTGCAATTATATTTTCCGACTCTATCCCAACAGTGGACTGCGACATGCAGCCCCTCCCGCTCCAGTACGAGAGGCCAACCCCCCCCTCATTCGTGCGGGTCGTGAAGAGACGATCGACAGCAAACAAAAAGGAACGAAGACGCACACACAATATAAACACCGCGTTCTCCGATCTAAGAGACTGTATACCTAATGTTCCTCCAGACACTAAGCTGTCAAAGGTTAGTATAATCATTTAAAAAATCGTTACAAAAATGAAAGCGTAACAAAAATGACATTGTAACAAAAACGAAATCGTAACAAAAGTGAAAAAATCGTCTCATCGTAACAATACACGCGCGTAATGCACAGATATTACGCAATTGCCGTAGATGGTAGAACTACCACGTATAGTAAAAAAGAAAGAATATTTTGTCTTTTGGAAATTAATGATCAGTTTCCTTTTATATCGAAATACAGCAGTGATGTATTTATTGAATAATATTAAAATTGTAGACCTCTTTTTTATATTTTTATTTTATAGATATACATCAAACGCATCTATAAAAATATATTTAATTTTCCCGCGAAAACGCCATCTTCTTTAATGGCGTCGCTATGAGGTCACGCCCGTGTAAAATTAATATCGTTTTATTTATGCATAAGGTTTAATTCTCTAAGTTCTGATATGAGTAAGAGGGGCGTGACGTCACGCGCTGTTTGCGGTCACGTGACAACGATTATAAAATATTTTCGTGTTTTATAATAAATTTTAAGAATATTATAATATAATAAGCATAAAAATGGGATTATTGGGAATATTATATTAAAAATTACCAGTAAAAAAACGCATAATTATAAATTCAAAAAATATTACGTTAGGATTCCTTAGTTTAATTGAAGAGGAGCTATGGCTACCTTTTTTTCATCATCAAATAAGTGGCCTAATTTCTTAATCTATCGCAAACCTTTTTAAAGGTATAGTTACTGTAATAGGATTCGAATGGGATTATGTAACGTTTAAAGACGTAATCGCTTTAGAAACTGATTTTCAGAAATGATAATTGAATATAATAAAAACTAGTAATTGAAACTTGTAGTAATATTTTCGTCTTACACTTACCTTAGATAAATCCAATTAATGTGAAATCAAAGATATCGTTCATCGCATGTTAAATAATTGACGCGTAAAGTTCGCGAAATGTCTTTCAATGTGGTGATTGCTATAGAGAAACATCACAGATTTTTAGGCAATAAGGTCCGTGCCATAAATAAAATACAAATAAATATACAACAACATCACATACATTGCTCAGATTCCAAGATGAGTAGCTAAAGCCCCCGTATTATGGAGTGTCTGAGACAACGAAGGTACCACAACACCCAGACCCGAGTCAATATAGAAAAGTTCATTTTATACATTGACCCGACCGGGAATCGAACCCGGGACCTCAGAGGTGGCGACACCTTGAAACCGGCGTGCGAACCACTCGGCTACGGAGGTCGTAAATATCAATATACAGACATAGAATTATATACATAGAATTATCAATATACAGACTAGAATAGCGATGCCCATTTTCTCTCATAGAGTTTTACAAATAGGTTTCATATTCATTTTAGATTCGAAAATTTTTAACTTTTAAATCTTTCAAAAAGAATAGAATTTGTATTTACGTTCTTTTTTTGTGACTAACTTTAATCTATTTTTAACTTGTCATATAATAACATTACCTCGGGCCACTGTAGTGGTCCACCAAGACGAGCCAAACGAAGCGTGAAATTGTGAACCGTAAAAGAAACTACTTTTACCTACTATCTAAGTTATTTTTGGACTTTCAAAGCATGTGGTTTGGCCGTTTTGTTTCTATAAAATGAACTATGGTGTAACAGAATAACTATGAACGGTGAAAAAATTTTTCACCTTAGGTCTGTATGAAGGTAGTAAATGTTTTGAATAACACGCAGTTTGTAGAGTCAAGGCATGTAAAGTAAGAAGCTTGGCTCTACACGAGATCTGATACCTTTTAACAGAGCAAGTCATATGGTCTCGGTTTGGTAACATTTTATATTAAAAATATTTTTATGGTTTTCTTTTTACTAAATTTTATACAAAATGTCAGGTCACTTCTAAGCTTATAGCCAGGCCGGGGGCCCAAGGTATTTTTCAGGCCCACCACTCTATAGTTTCGTCATTGTGCGTCTATAGGTTGTGAGGTGTTTCTTTTAGGATAAAAATCGGCCCCTACTACTAAGACCCGTCCATCTATAACCTGGCTGTATATCATGAAGAATGATAATTAGCTAGTTGAAATCCTTCACAGATGATGTAGTTCTACTAAAAATCAGAACAAAATAAATATTTAAGAAGGCTCCCATACAACGAACTTGATTTCTTACATTTTTTATATATATATATATATATATCAGTAGAGAACTCTTCCTACACGAGTCGGACTCGTGATTGGCCGGTTTTTATAATTAATCTGAATATTGTATAGGAAAATAGTATTTTGGGGAGATATTTCTGACCAATCCCTTTGATTAATGGCTATTCTCTTAGCGATTCTTAATTAATCACGTACAAGAATACTTTTAAAATGACGCAGGAATTCTAATTTATTTTAGATAAATATACTTTTATTTTTATATAAAAATAAAATATGCTTATTACTTTACATCCAATCCTTGATGTGATGCTTAAAAAAAAGATGAAAAGTATTTGCTGTCAATGTGACAGGCGGGTTACATATGTCACAGATGTCACTATCGACTCATGAGTAATATAGTATTTTCGGTAATAAAATTGAAGTGACGCGAAAAGAGAAAAAGAGCGTCGCAAAATTTAATATAAAACGAATTATTTATTTAATCAAATTTGCATTTGTCAATGAAGCTTTAAAAAATTAGAAAGAAATAAAAAAATAACATCTGCGTGTTCTAAAATCACACTAATATGCCTTTTCGTGCAATTAAAACTTAATATTTTCTTTGTTATTCCTATTTGAACAATTTTATACTTTATTTTTGCCAAAAAAGTTGGCAATCTTAAGTTATTATCATACTTACCCACTACTTCTCGTTACAAAATATAATATTTTGTGATTTTGACGTCAAAAGCACGTCAGACTATACAAAATTGTGAAATTTATACCCGATTTGTATACCTTAATGCATTGAATGTAGAGTTGAAAATCCGTTGCAGAATGTACCATATGCTAGCAGAATAGCCATAATTCTAGAGGATATATGTTTGTTAAGGAGCACCGGCGCACCGTGAGCATCAATTCGGCATTCACCAACCTTAAGGGGCGCATCCCCAACGTGCCCGCAGACACTAAACTGTCGAAGGTGCGTATTGAAATATCTCCCCTTAATGTAGAACAAAGGTAGGCTACCTTTACTGTAGTAAGGTAGACTACCTTTACTGTAGTAAGATAGGCTACCTTTACTGTAGTATAAGATAGGATTACAGGTGCAGGATTCAGACATGCAAATATAAGATGCAAAGGTAGGATACATGTACTGTAGTTTAAAAGTAGGCAATTTACCGTAGTTATATGTTTTGTAAGTAAAAAATTCATACTGAAGTTTATAAGTAGGCATTAACTTTAATATAATCTACCCATACTGTGATTCTAAAGCGCGTAATAAATACTACCTGCTATGCGATTTTATAAAAATCCAGACCCGCATATGAATTCATTCATGTGTCATTAGTGTTGAAATTCCATCGATTCATTAAATTAAATTGAATATACGTGTCTCGGGTATTCTATTCCTATGTCATTTCGAAACTGACTTCACTTATGCCATGAAACATTATTACCAATTCAAGGTTGAGCGGATGCCGCTTTTTGAAGTGAATTCGAATTCTGGTTTGGATTTTTACAGAATCGTGGGGTATCTCTAAATGCAAATGTAAACTTTACTTACAGATATTTGCCAAGGGAAATCCTTTGTGAAACGGTTTATACTTTACATTTACTGTAGTTCAAAGGTAGGCTACCCAAACTGTAGTATTTTTTTAGATAAAAATCCCTTATTCCAACTTCAAATATAATTTTATTATAGATATATTATTTTAAATTAAGTTAGTAAGATATGGTCCACTAATAAAGCTAATAAGTTACAAATTTTTTATTTTTAAAATTGGAAAATGTGGATACACCAATAAATATTTTAAGGTACGTACTTAGTGAGACTTAAGTCACTGTCAGAAAATGTGTCTTAAGCTAAGCATTCTAACAAAAAGAGAATTCATTGCAAACTCATGTTTGGTTTGCGAGAAAAACGTGGACAAACGTACAGACATACAGTACATACACATAAACGTTTATAAGGCCATACAAACTAATGAATATTACGCAATTTCCAAAGAAATTACGTACTTACATACAGGTCGAATTTATAACCTCCTTTTTTGAAGTCTCTTAAAAATTGCATTATTAATTACTTTCCGCCAGCGGCTTCGCTCGCGTGGTCTTGTATTATACATAAAAACCTTCCTTTTGAATCACCCTATCTATGAAAACCGCAACAAAATCCGTTGCGTAGTTTTAAAGATTTAAGCATACCTACGGATATAGGGACAGAGAAAGCGACTTTGTTTTATACTGTGTAGTGATAGTGAAGCCCTTTTACGTCCCCACTGCAGGGCTCAGGCCTTATGGGGGCGAACCGCACGGTGTAAAACCTACGGGCCGATCCCGTGCATCGCCTTCGTTTTAGTGGGTAAACCTGCTTTTTGTCTAGCCCCCATAGGGGTGGGGCCACAGGAGGAATCCCACATAACCCGCGCTGGGGGAGCGGGTATACGTAATGCATTTCTCTTTTCTCGCGATAATATTTTTTTCGCCTATCCCGTGAAGAACCATTGCGAAAGTTGCTTAACAACAATGGTCGCCAAACTACTATGGGTATATAAAGATGATATGCGGGTATATAATGATGTTTAGAAATGAACCCTGTATAATTATTCATTGTTTAGATCAAAACTCTCCGTCTGGCCACGTCCTACATCTCCTACTTGCTGAAAGTATTGGAGACTGACGGAGAACCTGTCGGCGGGTTCAGAGCTGATCTTCATCATACACCACCCCGAAGGAAAAACAACGATAGCAGTGTTCAGGTAAGATAATATAGCTATAACAAAGCTTATTATAAGATTTATGATTATATATAACAGTCGTTCTTAATTGGTGGTCTGTATACCAATGGTGGTTAATCACGAAGTTCATAGTCCTTATGTTATATGTTTACCAGTCAGTTGACATCTAACAAATTTCCATCTGGCCATAGACCCATTCGGTCTGTTATGTAATACGTAAAGGTAGATAAATAAAAAAATGTTGCATGTATCTAAAATATAATCACTGGCTTAACTGGGATTCACAGATTCAGTGGTTCACTGACAACCAGTGGTCCACGGACCACTAATAGTCCATGGTCCACCATTTGTCCACGGTCCACCAGTAGACCACGGACCACCATTGGTCCACGGTCCACCACAGATATACAGACTATGAACTTCGTGATTAATTATCTACCTGCACTAATATTACAAAGTGGAAAGATTTGATTGTTTGTTTGTTTGCATCGATTAGGCTCCGACAGTGCTAGACCGATATTATACACCTACTTTTATTCACCTACGGGTCATACGACGGTGACATAGGACATAATAGGGATGATGACCGGGTAAAAAAAATGCAATTCTATTTAGTTCGTCAGTCTGATAATAGAAAAATATTAGATACGTATTTTTTTTTACTTCAATTTAACAAGAAATGGCTTAGATAACAGGCATTAAAGTTGAGGAGTGGGGGCTCGCTACGTCACAGTTGAGTAGAAAACGTACCATAACGTGACGTCATGCGAAATATCAACTCAATGTAACGCCGTACTTTTATGATTACGAAAAAAATTTTAAAATACCTGTTTAATATTTTTTAACACTCTACCTGACGGACAAACAAACAAAAATTAGTCATCATCCCTATTTACGGGAAAACTGGTGTGTGGGCTAATAGTCTACACTTAAATTCAACTGTAATCCCTTTGGTTTGACATTAAAAGACATTCACGGACGAACTATGTTTTTTGAAACCTATTCAATGAACGATATTGTAGCGATGAAAAGTATGGATGTAAGCTATGACTCCGAATACAAACGCCTAATATCCAATAAACAATTTATTGCTTACTTCACAAGGTGAATCCTTAAGCTAGTGTCCGCACCAATTATATTCAATGAACATACGAAGTTGTACAATTAATTATTTCAATTTAAAATTCTTTTTCTCAACTTTAATGGCACTTTGCGTCACCACATTACTGCCAACTTCACGTAGGAGACCATTACACGATTTAAATACATTCATTCAACAAAACAATTTTGAATTCCAATTCTATCTTTCTACATAGATTTACCAAAAACAACTTAATACGATTTTAAAACGTTAATTAAAAAATAATTTTATATAAACAAAGATTTAAACATAATCATACTTCTTCTTCTTCTTTTATTAATGGCTTATCTGCGCATTTCGCACAATTCTGCCAATGTCATGTAAATTAATTAATTTCTACATGTAAAATGAAATGAATGAAAGATGAATTTGAATCTAACCACAATTTAAAATTATACTGACAAGCAACCGCCGTAGTCGATAGAAAAATCAAGAGTATATTATATATAATATATGAAAGAGTAAAAGTAATAGATACTGACTCAAAGTCAAAGTCAAAGTCAAAATAATCTTTATTCAAATAGACTTCTTAAAAGTACTTTTGAATCGTCCAACATTTTTTCCCTACCACTCGTTAAGGACGTCTTTTGGCTGATAAGAAGAACGAGCAAGAAACTCACCAGCTCTAATAGGAGTAATGACATTTACAAAAACCGTGTCATTACCAGATCAATACATTATAAACAGAGATAAAAAAAACTATGGTCTTATAATAATAACATAATCATTTAATAATAATGGAAACAAGATAATGAGTTAAGAAGTAATCACCTATCCAGTTGCTGGATCATCTCAAGTCCAAGCGTTCTTATCTGTTATATAATCGGATACTTTATAATAAGCTTTTTTAATAAGTATTTTTTCTATAGTAGATTTAAACTGCATGATATCTAATTGTTGTATTTTGCTTGGGACCTTATTGTAGAAGCGCACACAAAGACCCCTGAATGAGTTATTAACTTTTTGCAGTCTAGTGGTCTGGTCAATGAATAAAATCTATAAACTAGTGTTCTAGGAGTAAAACTGCTAATGAATATAAGTGTATATAATATGTTGGGAGAAGCCCACGATATCATTAATTTGACTTTAATTGGAAAACTCTCACGGTCAGTTGCACAAACGTCCATTAAAATTGTAATTAGTTTAAAGCGACATTACCCATACAAATTTGACATTCATTAGACTTAAAGGCGTCATTAAACCTTAATGCACGTTTGTGCAACTGGCTTATAGGCAAACGTTAGACAAATATTACTTTATAAGCTTTTGAGAAATATCAGACGAAAGAGTTGAATGTTGGAAATGTGAACTTACATTAATGTCTATTTAGTAACAGTCCAATCTAACCTGCGGTTGCCTGGAAGATTTTGCTCTTTAGCGATAACGCCGCCAATTGTACAACTAAACTGTATCAATTGTAATTTTCTTTAATTATAGTGTACAATAAAGAATTTATTAATTAATTCATTAATTCAATCCTTCCACAGGTTTAGCGAAGTTTTTATTCACACTAGTCCTATCGGGGGGTACCAGGAACTGAAAATATTTATTAGTATAGCATTACATAATTCCGTAATTCGCTATCATAATCGCTTTACCTCTGAAAGCTATAGCTTTATTATATTATTATAGATTGGTATTTAGCTGCCATTACCATGTAATTTCACTAGGGAAAGTTATTTTATCTCCATATGGTTGAATGGGTACACTCAGCGGCGCCCGCGCATGTGCATTAGTCTCGTCTGAGCCACTTCAGATACCGATACTCGGTATTTTTAACTCGTCCTGTTGTAAGATAGCTAATCAATCGAACTTACATTAATGCCCATTTTCACTAACCTAGCACAAGGCGTAGCTTAACTAGAAATCACTTAATATTAATAAGCAGATTTGCTTTAAAAACTTGTAACGTTAGGTAATGTCTTACTAAGCACTTGCTCAGTTAGGCAATGTTGGTCTATGATTTTGCATGCTACAGCGCTTGTTCTTTTTATTAATGTACGGCATAATTGCGTTTACACAATTCCGCCAATGTCACGTTAGTGGCCTTTACACGTAAAGAGACAATAACAAAAAAATGTACTTTTAGATAATGAAACAAGAAAAAACACACACAAGCACCCAAATCGTCATTATTCATAAAAAAAAAATTATAAATGTCCGAAAATTCAAAATATCCATGATTCTAACTTACTTAATTAATATAAACTCCTTGATTCTAAGTTATTAAATTAATTTAATCCCTTAACGCATCCGTTATGGCCAAAGAGTAAATGTAAATGTCACATTACGCAAATGCCAAGCGTTAGGCGCCGCACAATGCATGTCCTAACTTTAAGCGTTGCCCAAACTCGTAAGGTCTCCTTGTCATTGGTGAAACGCATTTTCACCTTTGACAATGCCCTAATATTTAGTTATCAGATTAAGGCGACTCCTAAGTTTAGTGAAAACAAAGGTTAACATAAAAAAAAAATTACACGGTGGTTTAAACGTTATAATAATAATAATACTTTATTGCACTCAATATGATACAATGTTTACAGGAGCTTATTATTTAAAAACATTGAGTAAACAAATGGCGGCCTTATTGCTTAACAGCAATTTCTTCCAGGCAACCTATGGTGAAACTAGATAACCAATAAAGATACTTTGGAGAGTCGGTGCAATATTGAGAAGGATAAATATATTAATAGCGTTAATATTTTATAACAAATAAAAAAAAATATATAAAAAAATAAAGAATGTAATAATATATAGGTACACATGAAATGGATGAAATAGTTTTACAGTGAAAGGATAATACGAAAAATAGTTTTAAGATGTGAAAAGGAAATACTTTCTAACTTCACCGCTAAAGGATCCTAATGATTGAGCCTTTCTGACACCCTCAGGAAGAGAATTCCACAGACGCACAACATGCACAGCAATTTATTTTGTAATTGAATTTATACCTATAGAAATTCAATTACAAAATAAAAATATTAACATTACCAAGTGAAATGTACGTATTCGAATACGGAAAGATACTGGACTAAGAAATGGAGCAACTAATGTATTATCACCAGCCCTTTTTACATCCCCACTGCAGGGGCTCAGGCCTCCACGCTGGCCCAATGCGGATTGGAGGGTATTAACGACTGCAAATGCAGCCGGGACCGACGGCTTAACGTGCCTCCCGAAGCACGGAGTAGCTCGAGATAATAATTTTTGGTCACCCATCCCGTGACCGACCCTTGCGAAAGTTGCTTAACGATTACGATCGCGGGCCGCGGCGCTTATCTACTACGCCACCGAGCTACTCATGAATTAATTAAATAAAGTAAAAAGCAGTTTTAGAGATCAAAGATACTATGTTCTTCTAGAGAGTTAACATTATATACTAATCAATAAGAATGTTTCGGTTTATAATGTTAGCTCGTGCCTATATCCATCTGTTTATATTGTAATTTGCTTTACGCCCACGATAAAATTGCCAGATACCGGGCCATGTGCTTCTCTTTAGGTTGAAACGTGTGGTCCAAGCGACGAGCGGATGAAAAAAAGGATATATTAAAACTAATTTATAAATAGACATCTATACTAATATTATAGATAGGAATGATTTAACTGTTTGTTTTGTTTGAATTGAATAAAAAAATATTTTACCTAGGGGAAGCGACTAGGATGACGTAGGCTTAATTAAAGCGGGCGGAGTTGCGTTCAATTAAAAAAAATATCAAATATAATAATTGAAAAACATTATAATTAATTTAAATATAATTTATTACTTAATGCCATGCATCATTCTCTACGACTCTACCAGTAATGAAATGATTTAAATTTAAATTATTTAAGTAAGCTTGTTACAAGCACTTTTTAATCGTCAAAAAAATTTTCCCCTACCACTTGTTCAGGACATCTTTTAGCTTTCCTTCAGAGACCACCAAATATATAAAACAGGCAATAGCTTCAATTAAATGACACGTTTACATAATTAAATATACACATATTGGTACTCGGCGAGGTTTACTCTTTGGTAAGATATTATTTTGTATTCGAGATTTATATGCTACAATTTTTCAATACTTATCATAGGTGTAATATTATTATATGTCAGGACTTCGTAGAGTGAATGAGTTGAGTATACTGAACAACTTTTACTATGGAAGCAACTTTGAATTCACGAAAATATAATACTGTTGGCGATTGTAGGTTTTTAAATTTTGTAGGGACAGCTGATTATTTTCGTATAGTTTGCAAGTAATTAATGAAATTAAGGAGCTCGACGGTGCAGTGGTAAGTGCTTTTGCTCTGCTATGCAGAAGTGAAGACGAGTAACTACTGCAAGGGTCAGTTATAGGACGGGTGAGAAGATGTTGTTACGGAGCGTAGCTGCGCGATGTTTCGTCTGTCCCTTACTAGATGGCATTACGTGTCATTTGAATCGCGCTACTCCGACGAAACTACGCGTGCGAAACTACGAAGAAAGAGACGGATAGCCATTCTAGAACTTTTAGGTACTAAACGGTATGAGCGAGGTTATCCTAAGGTTATCGCTTAACGCTACCGCTCGGCACTTGGACCACAGTACACTGGAGTGTGCCAGGTTACACCACTAATAAATAACGGAAGGAACCTTCTGGGAATGCTCCTTTGATACAATTTGCGTCTGTATCTCTCAAGATTATTATCGACTTGAACCAGATATGAAAGATTTATGGCAGATATGAAAGAAAGAAAGCTATATAAGAAAACCCCTTGTTTACTCCTTCATACTGATGAAGAGGGGCTCGATGGTTCAATGGCTAGCTATATGTTGTTAAGTAACTCTCGCAATTTCCGCTCATAGGTTGGTTGACCAAAAATTTTTTTTATCGAATATAGCTAGTATTAGATAGAATTCCATTCGAAATGTTATTTAAAAAACATTATCATCACTTCTATACATCGTATAAAACAATGTTGCTTCCCGCTGTCTGTACGCTGATATCTTTGAAACTACTCAACGAATTTTAATGCAATTTCAACAATATACAGAGTGATTCAAAATGAAAATCTAAATGTATAACTAGCCCTCCGCCAGTGACTTCGCCCGCATTATTTTCATACTTCTAAGTCCAGAGTCGAGAAAAAATCATATTATCTTCACACCCCTATTTTCACCCCCTTAAGGGTTGAATTTATAAACAATCTTTTCTTAGTGCACATTCACATCATGAACTGAATGTGTCTGTACAGAATGTCAAGTTTCTAGGTACAGTAGTTTCGGCTGTGTTGATATATGAGTCAGTCAGGTTTGCCTTTTATATATGTATCAGCTTTCCGCCAGCGGCTTCGCCCACGTGCTTGTATTATACATAAAAACCTTCCTTTTGAATCGCCCTATCTATGAAAACAACCGCATCAAAATCCGTTGCGTAGTTTTAAAGGTTTAAATATACATACGGATACAGGGACAGACAAAGCGACTTTGGTTCATGATTGTTTGTTTGCATGAAATAGGCACCGAAAGTACTCGAACGATTTTAAAATTCTTCCACCTACAGGTGGCTACATCATACAAGGTTGACATGGGCTATAATTTACGCGTACGAAGTCACGGGAAAACAGCTAGTATCTATATACAACGTGTCCCAAAATTCAACGATAAGCGGGCGCCAAGAGGTAGACCTGCTCATGTGTACTTATGGAAAAATAAGAAAAAAATTATATCTTATTAATCTTTCTATTATAAAATAAAATTCGAAAATTTTCGAAAGAGTTGTAGCGAATAGTAGTGCTACTTAGGTATCCGATACCAAAAAAAGATTGAACATAATTGAGAAGTTGTGGTCGTGGTAGTTGAAAATATCATAAAAGGTGTAAATTTTCGAAGATTTTCGAATTTAATTTTATAATAAAAAAGATAAGATATAATTTTTTTCTTATTTTTCTATAAGTACACATGAGCAAGGGTACCTCTTGGCGCCCGCTTATCGTTGAATTTTGGGACACGTTGTATATAAAAAATTGTCTACAAAGTAAAGGGTATACTGTTAAGGAATATCTAAATGACAAAAAGGCATGGTGTTAGATATTTTAACTTGATTGTATTTACTTTCTAATATTGTAATGGAAAGTGACTTCATATTCTAATGAAGTCACTTTTCAATAAGACTTCTCTGTGTGAAATAAAACAGGGAGAAAAAAACAGCCCTTGCTGAGTTTCTTGCCGGTTCTTCTCAGTACAAGGTCTTCCGCCGTAGTTTTGCGAACCGATGGCGTAGTTTTCGACTTTCACGAGTGCTCTGTAAAAGCCTAAACTGAATAAATAAATTTTGATTTTTGATTATATAAAAGCGAAAGGTCACTCATTACGAAATCTCAGAAACAACAAGTGCTAGTAGATTCAAATTTTGCATGCGGGTTCTTTTTAGAACGTAGGCGCTCACTTAAACGGGATTTTAAGAAATTCAACCCCAAAGGGGGTGAATTAGGGAATGAAAGTCTGTATGAAACTGCGATACTACAAATGCTAAGAGTTTCAAATTTTACATGCGGGTTTTTTTTACGACGTAGGTGCTGACTAAGATGAGATTTTATAAAATTCAATCACTAAGGATGTAAATTAGGGGAGAAATGAGAAAATTCCATAAAAACTTTCACTTTTATGGAGTTTTCTCATTTCTGGACTTCAAATTCACGCGGGCTAAACCGCTGGCAGAAGGCTAGTAATATATATATTTAAGGAAAGCTAGATCTAAATATAAAACAAGATAAAGAAATTAACAGAAGGTGTGTTTGTTTACATCTAGTCGACTGCTTCCTCCACGTGTTTGTTTAATTTTCACGGCAGTTCATTTTTTTATTGGCAGTAAATATTTTTTTTTTTCGCGTGCCGGAAAAGATTTGTATACAAACCTTTTTTTTGCTAATCTCTTATCATTTAAAGCAAATGAAGTTAATGATGGATACTTTTTTTGTTTTAAAAAGAAGGATTCACTCGATTATTTAACGAGGAGGATAGAGCCGCGGTTAGCGCAGTCGGTTGAATACGCTTGTTAAGCAGCTTTCGTAATGGCCGTTTATAGGATGGGTGACCAATTTATTATCTCGAGCTCATCGCTTCGGAAGACACGTTAATCCGCTGGTATCCGCGGCTAGGGCACGTTCCTTATAAATGGAATCGACTAGGGAGAATGGGCCACGACCCACCAATGGGCCGACCGTTATTATTACCGGGCCCTAACATGGCATGGCTTAATTTGCCTTCAGATGTGCAAAAGAGCTCAAAATTTTTGGTCACCCATCCTATTACCGGCCTTCGCGAAAGTTGCTTAACTTCAACATCTCAATGAGCTGCCCCTGCGCAATCTAGCTTCTATTGTCTGCAATCAATTTAAAATCTTAATAAAACTGACTGTTCCAAACATTTTTAATGAACTAAACGCTCTGTATACTTATCAAGTTACATTATGACATGAATATGAAAGATATGGTATCAATTACACACCCAATAACATCGGAGCGAAACAAAAAAAAAAACTTGTAAACGATCTACAAATAGATCCAAAGAAAAAGTTTTTATGTTACTTTTTTCCTTCATGTAACAAACCTCTGTGATTGTGCACACGTGTACTCAATTGGTTATGTCTCGTCCTACTATAAAAAAGTAAAGATGTTTATCTATGGCTCCTGTTTGACTTGTCTTTGTGAATACTTTTGGCGCTTTTTCGAAACAGTGGCTCA